CTCTGGCTGGGGCGGCTCTTAGACCCGTCTCCGTGTGGATCGCCCGGAGATTGCGGGCAGCCACACGAAGCATGCGCACGAAGGTGCCCTTGAGTCCCTTGGAGCTGCCCGGCAACCTTTTCGACGTCGCGGACAAACTCCAGAGACTGCGCCACCAAGTCTGCCGTTGGGGCCTTTTTGTATTCCTCGGTAAGCTCTTCCTCGTCGGGGAGGGGCAAGGCGCTCCTACTCGGCACCGGGGGGTCTTCTCCCGGATCCGCAATTCTCTTTTGGGCCAGTAATTCGAGCTCCTGGCGCCGCAGCTCGATGACCCGTTGCTTCTCCCGCGCCACGCCGATATAATCTCCCGTCGTCGGCGGGCGGCCCCTTTTCCCCCGGCGACGGCTGTCCAGCGACGCGGCGGACGCATAGGACTCGTCCGAGTCCGCGTCACTGAGGCGCGAGGAGCCAGCCGCCTCCGAACAGGCCGGAGAAACGGCGGCCCTCCTCCTGGTCGGCCGCAGCTCTGGCCACGCCTCCTCGGCCCTCTGGAGCCTGATGACCGGCTGAGAGGGCAGGCCGGGCTTCATCCCGGCAGAGTTAAGCGTACCAGTAGTATTACTGGACGCAGCGGCCTGGTCGTCCACCGCTGACATCCCACGGTTGTCGGATGACGACGAAGAGGGGGCCCGCTTGACCACCCCCTCAACGCCGGTACTGGGGTGTCCCTCCCCTGCACCGTAAACGAAAGTTTTTTGAGGTGTATTCTCCATGGTAATTATGTAGTGAGTTTCCCGAGAGTCACTAGCTCGCTCCTCCTCCAGACCAATGCTGCCAGGCGCATTGGTAGACACCGGGGCCTGGCGCTCCACCGCCGGTGCCTCGCGGTCGTCGGATAACGACATAGAGGGGGCCCGCTCAACCACCACCTCTACGCCGGTACTGGGAGTTCCGAGGCTCCCTGCACCGTAAGCTTCTACATCTTTTGTTCGTCCTGTCATATTTAATAAATGTAGAATTTACCATGGAATGCCGGTCCGTCAACGAATATCCTGTCCCCGCGACACAGCCAACCTTTTCGCCTCTCCGACCCAGGCCTTACCGGCATGGGAGGCCCTGCCAGGGTCCGTAGACCCCGCCGGCATCACCCCGGGTCATCCGCGAGGTTACTTCGGCAGGCAAGCGACGCGCCCCTTTTAGTCGCCTTTTCCGACAGGCAGGGGTTACCGTGGCTGAATTCTTGCCCACAGCCACAGGGGCGGGGTAACATTCCCCGAGTGTTTGGTCCGCGGGAGCTATTTTATTTCACTCCTACCCTCCACGCGCTCCGAAGAGGCGTGGCGAGCATTCCCCTATCCGCCACCTGGGGACGCGCCACGTCGGGGTATCACCTCCCCGCCTACCTGGACAACCAGGCAGGTTCGTGGAGAGCCAGCACCCCTATCGCAAGTATTACCCCCTTTTGTTAAGGTGGGTATTAGTCCTACATCTACACAGAATTGCTGAAGAATTCTACCTCTATCCGTCCATCTATCCGAACCCCACATTGGGGACTTTGCATTAAAGTCTCCCGTAATAATCAGTTTTTTATTTTTCAGGGTCGTCAATGAAGTAGCCAGTGCGGCCAGGAAGTCTTCAAAGTCTTTTATAGGGGAATTTGGTGAAGCATAACAGCTTCCTATATAAAAATTTCCTACACGTACAATGACGAAACCATTTCCGGTTACGATTGGTATTATACACCGATTACTGTATAGTCCACGCAGAGTTACCCAAATTGCAGCTCTTTTAGACACATCAGTAAACCAGTGGTCCGGTACAAGGTAAGGTTCCGTAACCACCACAATATCCACTTCCAGCTCGTCCACTGTCTTTTTTAATAGGTCATTTGCAGACCTACAGTGATTCAAATTTATCTGCAAAATATTAATTTTGCCTTTTTTGCCTTAAAACCTCTTTGTACCTCTGGCATCTCACAGAGGCCGCCACGTGCGCTAACCTTTCCTCAGGTAATTTATCCTCTAGGCACAGCCTGCATCTAGGAGCTGTAGCCGTGCATTGTCTCATCTGATGTTCTGTACTACCACACCTCCTACAGAAACCTATACCATTTTTGGCTGCTTTGCAGTTTATCGCCACGTGTCCAAAGTCGTGGCAACGGAAACACCTCAAAAGTCTCGGTATTTCTTTGACAAACACCACCGTCCAGCCAATCTTAATTTTGGCCTTCTTAACTAATTTTAGCATGTGGTATGCAGGTCCCTCCACAATAGCAATCTTATTTTGCCTCGGATCCGTTCTTAAGACCTTTATCCTTATTTCCGCAGCGTCTTTTCCTGTCTCTTGTTTAATAGCATCAAGGATCTCTTCTCTGTCTACAGAGGGATCGATACCTTTAAGCTCCACATCAATCCTCTGCTGCAACCGCGCTACCTCTATATCGGGTCCAAGTTTCCCATCAATAGTCCTCTTAAAACATTCTAGGTCAGCATTAGGAGTAAACTCTAGCAAGAGATTTCCTGCCCGAGTTTGCCTAACCGATTTTACGCCCTCAGGGGTAGGACCGACAGCGTTCTTAACCTGTTTCAGCACGTCCGCAAACGAGGCGTCTTTACTAAATCGAACTGCTATTGCTTGCGGCCTTACAGGTTTCCGGTTAGGTGTTTTACGTATCCCGTCCTTTATTATGGTTTCTCTACTCTCTCCTCGAGGGCTATTTTCAGTGGCTATACTACGAAACCTTTCTACGACCGTCTTTTTCCTTCTGGGTTGCACGGTCTCCCAGTCAGAGTTCGTAGCCTCTGTCGTTGCTTCGAACCTAGGGGTACCTTTCTCAGGTTATGCTTTTCTATTAGCCCTCTTAGGTGGTTCACGAGCGCCAACTACTATTTTAGTCCTTTTACCCACCTTCTCCGTAGGTGGGGTAATATCTTTCCTTTTTTGTCTTGTCACAGGCAGAGGTGGAAAGGAAGCATCACCTTCTGTGGTTGTCTGGGTCGATACGTCTGTGTAAGCCTTACTCCTGTCAGCAACATCCTCTATGTTCTGTATATGTACAGCAGATTTCGGAGATGTCTGCTCAGTTTGTATAGCCATAATTTTTTTACTTGTATCATTATCCTCCTTCACCATTTTCACCTTATATTCGGTATGTACGATCCTCATATGGTCGATTGTATCCGCTACTTTCTTTAAGTAACATTCCATTGTAATGGAAGTATCCCGAATCGTGGGGGTAGCGTCCCTACTTTTAAGCATGAAACTCTTAATGGCCGAGTTATGGTCCATTATCGCTTCAACTATTTTAGCCATGGATTCCAGGCAAAAATCCATTTTCTCCTCTAGTGTAATTTTATTGTCCTTATGATCTTTTTCCTCTGGCTTTGCGCCTGCTAACAGAGTGTCTTCGTTCCCTTCATCCCCAGTGAGGTACATTGAGCCGATTGTTTCCTTCTCCTTTGCGCCTGTGTCCCGTTTTACCGGGGGAGTCCTCTTCACCCTGGGTTTCTCCTGAAACACTTCTTCCCCTCTAAGGGTACTGCATCCGGTATCATCTTCTACGCCAGTAGCCATTTCCATCGCAGGGGCCTGACGATACACCGCCTGCGTTGCGCAGTCGCTGGATAACGACTCGTGGGGGCCTGTGCATGCACCTCCCACCGAGCCGGTACTGGAGCTACCGAGCACTCCTGCACCGTAACGCTTTTTTCGATTATTTGTGTGGTCCATATTTTTATTTTTTAGAATTGTCCAGAAAGATAAGCTAAGGTTGTCATACAAGGGGCCGTCCAGTATATCACAATAAGAAGAAAAAATAACACAGAAGGGCACAGGATTACATAGAAAGAAAATTAATCCTAAGCTTAAAACACGCCTCATCAGGGACCATAATAGTAAGTATACTAGAGATACATTATTATCCGGTCTGGATCATGCAGGTATACTTTAGCTGCTTCCATGCCCCCTTTTAGTCGCCTCCTACGACAGGCAGGGGATACCGTGGCTGTATTCTGAGCCCCCCAGCCACAGAGGGAAAAATATCCCTATCTACCGCGACGGACACGCAACAGGTTATATGTATATAAATTACGAATTTTCCAACCGAATATTATCAAAGTGTCAACAGAAGCAGTGGATTCCAAAGCATAAAATTAGTATTTTTGGAATTTACGTGTTAAATGCTGTTGATGAGATCGGGTCGTGGAATAAATATATATGGATGTGTATTTAGAATAGATTTAATATCATAATAGCCTAATAATGGCATACAATCGATATTTTTGGATTCTACACATCAGATATTACTGAACTGTCAAAAAAGGTTAAATGAAATTCAACCGATGCTCGTAAAAAGGTGCCTGATTTGTTATGTCTATAATGTCAATAATGTTATTACAATAATAATAGTGTGTCCAATATAAAACGAAACATTCTTGAAAATGCGTGTTTTTTTTCGGTTTTTATTATTCCATTATGTTATCTGTATAGCAACTTATCCACCATGATAAGCACCTTTCCTTGTTCAATAAATGGAAAGTACTCCACATTATCAGTAAAATAAAATGTTGTTAACATACTACATTGTTGGACTACCATTAATTAATATTATCTAGTATAATTGTTCAAGATAATTTCGTGAATGACATTGTAGAAGATCTCAGGTTATATTTACCAATAACGATATGACTGACTCTCTTTTCCAACGTTCTGTCCATAAGTCTTCTTTTACAAGATTCTTTCCAAATGTTTTAATATTATTTCAGATTCGACTTAGCAATGGAATATTTCAATAAAACTGTTCTAGTCGTTTGAGACAAATTCAAGATTTGTAAACACAATACAAGCGCTATAAAATAGATAAAAGTGAATAGTGAAATAGAAACTCTGTTACAAATTATTTTTTTATAAATTGTTACTTGGTAAAACTATTTATTTGAAAGTAGAAGAAAACAATGTGAATTGTAACTTAAATTCTATATTAAGGAAATTAGAATAGGAAATTAAAGTATAAGGGATTCATCTACTTCTATTAAACTATTTATTTGAAATATGCTGGTATTACATTGTTTTTAAAGTCTGTAACGTGCAAGACAAACTTATCTAATTTAATATTGCTCTTGCTTGAATGATTGCTCCACTATATCTATTTAATACTTCTACTCCATAATATCTCTGTTGCAATTTTCCCCTCCGTGTCTGATCAAATGCTGAAAATAAAGGAAACGAAATCATATTATTATATATTGATACATTGTACTCAACAACATTACTTTGAAATAAAGGATGTATTGAAGAAAATAAAGTTTCATATTTCTTTTACCTTAAACATATTTCTAGATACATCATGCGAGAAAGTAATTGCATCTACTTTTAGTGTACGTTTTTGTTATTTAGCCTAATATTTCATTCCACGCTGATTAATTTCTTTAATGCAACTATTCAACTTTTCTACTCCATCATTTTTTGATTGTAATTTCCCCATCAATGTCAGAACAGATACTGAAAATATAGAAAAAGAAATCATATTATATGTTGATACATTGTACTCAACAACATTAATTTGAAATAAAGGATGTACATATTGAACAAAATAAGGTTTAATATTTCTTTTACCTTAACGATATTTCCAGATATATCTTGCAAGAAAGTAGTTGCATCTATTTCCAGAATATGTCTTTGTTATTTGTCCTAGTATTTCATTCCACGCTGGAAAATATCTTTAATGTGTCTATTCAACTTTTCTACTCCACAATATTTTGGTTGTAATGTCCGCATCAGTCTCTGAATAGATACTGAAAATATAGAAAAAGAAATCATATTATTATTTATTGATACATTGTACTCAACGACATTAATTTGGAATAAAGAATGTATTGAAGAAAATAAGGTGTAATATTTCTTTTATCTTAAACATATTTCCAGATATATCTTGTAAGAAAGTAACTGCATTCAATTTCCACATATTTTTCAATATAACCTATACCTGTCAAACGTTACACATAACTATTTGATCTTAGTTATTTTAGGAAACACGTGTAATGGACTTCCGTTTCATCCAATTAAGGTGATGAGAGCCGCTCAAATCAATTACAGGTTGTGGAAATGGTAGATGTGAATAGAATTCACAGCGATAGTACTATACCTCTAATGCACAAAACTACTCACCAAATAATGTTAAATATATCCAACATTTGATTTTGGCTGCAACTTAAGGGCACAGACTACTTCGAGGCCTCCTCCGAATCGATGTAAGCGCCACTGGAAAGAATCGGACAACCGTGAAAACACATAATTGAGAAATTCGACATTTGACGGTGGACATCTAACCTCATTATGCAGAATAAGAAACGAAAGTGAGGTGGCATAGTTGCCAAATCACATGATTTGAGAGTTCTATCGCGGTGTTGTCTGAATTGCGGTGTTGTCAAAATGAATTTGCTCGAGCCGAGCGAGATTTTGATTCCTGGCGGATATAGAAAAGGACAGCGCGAGAGAAAGAGAAGGAGTATCATGAATGAAACAACGTAGAGCCGATTGGCGGAAATATAGTCACACGCTACGACAGATTCGATGAGACTCTGTAATACACATAATGTACGCGACTATAAAATTTATAGGAATAAAAACTATATGGCATTAATAATTTCAGGAGAGGAATGAAAAATAAAGACATGTAAATTGATCTATAATATATAATATTTATTGATTGAAATATAATCAATAAATATAAACAATGCTTCTTCCTTCTCCGCGACGTCTACATCGTCGGTTACCATGACAGCCACTCCAGCCACGTGTTATTGAAATTTTTTTCATCTGAAATATAAAAATGAATTTTAATATAATTGTACCTGCATATACAGGGTGTTCCAGCCTAAGTATAACAGAATTATATTAAAATTCATTATTATATTTCAGATGAAAAAAGTAATCAAAAAAATGTTATACGACGGTCGCCGAGAAGGTAGAAGAGGAGAGAGAGACGGTAGGAGGTGGCGGTGGTGGGCGGCCTATTATTGTTAACATATACTAAAAATATATATATGTATAAATAAACATCATAAATTATTACATTACTTTATTTCTTATTCCCTTCTTGAAATTATTATGTCATGTAGTTTTCATTCCTATCAGTTTTATGGTCGCGTACTTACGTTATGTGTATTATTTCATTCATTCTAGCCCTACCAGCACCACGAATCCGTCGTTCTTTGATGTTTCCGAACACAGAAAAGGATAACGCAAGAAGGATAAACAAAGAAAGAAAGACTCGCAAGCACAACATTTAACCCAATATTATGCTACTAAATGTTGACTGATTTATATTGTGTTTAGCTTTATTTTGATCAGAAAAATCTTCTCCACATGATAGTGAAATTTTTATTAACAATAAGAACAAAATAAAAAATTTTATTCTGTGCATTAGTATGGTCACATTGACACGGGACATTTAAATGAAGGCAATAAATCCCGGTTTCAGTCCCTCTTTCGTATTTAGCTACTGACTCTTTCTAATCAGTGTTTACTGACTAAGCAATCAAATTCGAAAAATGATTCTCCAATTCCATAACAGTTGCGGAGTGGACCGGCAATAGTTATGTACATTTATCGAGTGTTCACTGTATATGATGCAAATTTTATAATTCATTTTTTTGGTATACCATTTCAAGTATTCTATCTGTAATCTCATTGATAAAAAAACATGATTATAAATATGAATAAAAAAGTTTTATGGTTGCACACATTAGTACATGTATTGTTTCATTCTCGGACCTCTTTCTCTCTCGAGCGCCCTACTCTTTTCTGTGTCTGGCAGGAATCAAAATCGGTTCGAGCCTGTTGCAATTGTAACAGATGTGGCAGCAGCGTGACAGAAGTCTTAATACGTTGCGGCAACTATGCCGTACTTGTGATTATGTTCGCGTAGCCGTTTGTGATGTCAAATTAGAATTTACATTTATCGACTGATTTGTGTTTTTATCGACCCCGATGATAACGTGGTCAAATATACCATCAATGCCTCCGACGGAGAATCAGTGAACTATTCTTAAGTCTATTTTACGTCTGGTGCGTGCAAATCGTAAATTTCATTTTATGTCTTCCAGAAGTGATAAATTGTGAAAAATCGAATTTCAGTGATATTGTGCTAGTTCAAGGAAGGGTGGTCTGGTGTGCTATGGGTGAAAAAACCATTAAGTCGTCCAATATTTGCTAAAATGCAGCCGAACGCAGCATTCGGCAGCCATGTTGTTTGCTTACAACAGGGTCTGTCTCAATCTTACAGTGTCGAAAATACCATTTTTCTCAACGTATGGTGTTTATTAGTGTTCAAACGGACCAGACCACCCTGTGGTGGTCTACCCGTGGGTGCCGTACCCGCGAAAATTTCATTACTGCAATTATCGGGACGAAAAACGAAATCTACGAAATCGAGTATCTCTCTCACGCATGGCGTATACGTGTATGCTTTCCGTTGATTGTGTGAGTGCACGCATACAGACCATGGCACAAAGAATCTGTGCCCTTAATTATTTACTGATAAGCCTCTTTATATGCTCCTCTTACTGCTGTAAATAGATACATATTGCTTTGCACTGAGAATGCTACGCACCATGTCATGCCGCATTGTCAAATACTTATACACTATTAATGAAACAAACCAAATTAGTATATTTGAATAACTATTCAATATTATTGTATCTTTTGCCCTGTTTCATGCAATACGTGGATGAATGTTCCTCTGGTATCTTAATAACGACCTTGTAAATATTCCTCTACTCTAACCTATACCTGTCAAACGATATACATAATTTACTAACCTTAGTTGTTTTATGAAACAAGCATTGCTACACACCGTGCTAAGTCGGATTGTCAAAAACTGGACATTTCATTTCTTACACCACTCTGTTAAAATATATAAGAATGTTTCGCACAAGCCTCAATATAAAATGCACATACAAATTAAATTCACTTCCAAATTTATTATCTTTGACCATATATGTAATCATATACTTCAGCATACATACGCATTCAAATAGCATAGGAATTTGAATCGATGAACAATACCACCATCTACCGACTCCCAAAAGTAATGATTTTAAAATATATGGCGTCCAAATGGCACGACGTCCAAACGGCACGGCGTCCAATCGGCACGGCATTCCAAAAGAAACGCGTCCAATCGGGACCGTTCAATCGGGACGCGTCCAACTGGTCGGCGTCCAAGTGAACAGCACACGTAATAATGATATTGTTATGAAATGTACATTTATCTGTAGGAAGGAATCAGTATATTACAATATATCTAATGTAGATATAGTGATAACGACATTGTCATTGAATGTACATTGATCCGTGGGAACGGATCAGTATATTACATTACATAAAAATGTGGATATAGTAATAATGCTATTGGTATTAAATGTACATTGATCTGTGGGAATGGATCAGTATATTTCACTACATGCAGTGTAGATATAATAATAACGATACTGTTATTATGTGTATATTTGACTGTAGTAAGGAATCGGTATATTACATTACATCAAATGTCGATATAGTAATAATGATATTGTTCTCAAATGTATATTACATATTTAATGTAGGTGTAGTAATAATGGGGGTGCCCCAATTGGACGTCGTCCGATTGGGACGCTGTGCCATTTGGACACGGGCCGTTTGCGCGCCCAATTGGTGGGCGTCCAGATATTATGGAAAATACTGATTCCTTCCTACAGATCAATGTACATTTAATAACAATCACATTATTACTATATCTAGATTAGATATGTAGTATACATTTAATAACAATATCATTATTACTACATCTACACTTTTATGTAATGTAAGATACTGATCCGTTCCCACAGATCAATGTATATTTAATGACATTATCATTATTACTATATCTACATTAGATATACTGTAATATACTGATTCCTTCCCACAGATCGATGTAGATTTAATAGTAATATTGGACGTAATGTAATATACTCATCCCATCCCACATATCAATGTGGATTTAATATCAATATCATTCATACTCTATCTTCTTTAGATGTAATGTAATATACTGATCCCTTCCCACACATCGATGTAGATTTAATAACAATATCGTTATCACTGTATCTACTTTGGATATAATGTAATATACTGATCCATTAGCACAGATCAATGAACATTTAATAACAATATCATTTGTGACCCTTTCGGGGGGTTACTCTATACTTTATTGAGCACAAAATTTATAATCGTTACAATCGCAAGTAGTCGTTTCGATTGCTCGTTGGGCACCAGCCACGTTTCGTGGCAGCTAAAGAATAAGAACGTCGATTGGGAGTATACAGTTGCGGATTTCGTGGCACTTCCTGGACGTCCGTACAATACTTCGCGGGGGGACGGGAGGAATATTGTCGGGGGAAGGGAGATCTCAGGGTTGGGAAGGGTTCTCTGGAAGTTCGTTACGTTACGCGTAGGAGGATGATTGTAGACGGGAATGATAGGGGTCGGACAAGGGGTTTCGCAAATGGGTGACGGTGGTTGGCCGCCGCGCTAAAGCTGCAGAGAAGAAGGTGGTAGCGGCTAAGGCCCCTCCTTCCCAGGGCTCCAAGGGGGTTGCCCAGATGGGGCAGAAGAGAGGAGCGGCACCGCCTGTTAAGGGGCAGGGCGCCCAGCCTACCAGGCAGAAGGCCCCCCGCCCCCCTCGTACAGCGATGGTCACCATTAACCTAACTCCTGAGGCTAAGGTCTCGTACGCCGAGGTCATGCTCATGGCCCGGAAGCGGGTGAAGTTGGAGGAGCTGGGCATCACGGCGTTGATGCCCAGACGAGCTCGGACCGGTGGCTTGGTCCTCGAGATACCTGGGGAGGACAGGACGGAGAAAGCGGCAAAGTTGGCTGACTGCCTCCGCCAGATGTTCAGTGGCACTGAGGTGAGAGTTGCTCGCCCTATAAAAATGGGCGAGGTTAGGGTGACCGATCTCGACGACTCGGTCATCCAGGCGGAGGTGGCGGCCGCGTTGGTCGCTGCGGCGGGTTGCTCCACTGAAGAAGTCAAAATGGTGGAGATTGGCACCTCCCCCCAAAGGATGGGGACTGTCTGAGCGGGATGCCCTCTAGCGGCACTCGCGAAGTTAACTGCCTCCGGGAGGGTTCTAGTCGGGTGGTCCTCGGCCAGAATACAGGCGCTGCCACCGCGGCCATTACAGTGCTATCGCTGCCTGGAAAGAGGGCATGTTAGGCAGCGATGCACTTGCGAAGCTGATAGGTCCGACCGCTGCTATGCGTGCCACGTGGCCAGCAAGTGTAGCGCCACCCCGCGGTGCCCCCTCTGTGCGCACCCGGGGCGGCCCGCAGGGCATCGATTGGGGGCAAAAGGTTGTGCCCTCTCCTCCTCCCAGAGGAAGAAGAAGGGTGCCGTTGAAGGGGTAGGGACAGCCCCCTCCCAGGCACCAAGGGCCAAGCCTGCGGAGTTAAAGAAGGGGGGGAAGAGAAATCCCCCTGCCAACTCGGAGAGCGAAAATGCCGCGGCGGCGGCTCGTAAGGCCTAGGTATAGGGCCCAAGGGCCCAATACTTCAGGCCAACTTGAACCACTCGGCCAGGGCTCAGGACATGTTGTTCCAAACCCTGGCCGAGTGGAAGGCTGGGTTGGCGGTGGCCGCGGAGCCGTACCGAGTCCTCGACAGACCAGATTCGTTCGAGGACGAGGACGGCTCCGTGGCGATTATTGGCACCGCAGTACCGCCACACCCCGCCCCACTGGAACGGGGCCGTGGGTTCGTCGGCGTAATGTGGGGTGAGATAGCGGTGGTGGGGCTCTATGCCCTGCCCAGATGGCCTCTCGCGCAATATGAAGAGTATCTGGACCGGGTGGGGGACTTTGTCTCCCGTTGTTCTCCCCGGCCAGTGCTAGTTCTCGGGGACTTTAATGCCCATGCGTCGCTCTGGGGCTCCCCGAGGACAGACGCGAGAGGCAGGGCGGTCGTAAATTGGGCGGCGGGACTAGGACTCCACCTGCTCAATGTGCGGTCCGTTAGCACCTGCGTGCGTGCCCAGGGGGAGTCTGTAGTCGATCTGTCTTTCGCGACTCCCCTGGCCGCGCGTATGGTGCAGAGATGGAGGGAGGTGGAGGAAGCGATCACACTTAGTGACCATCTAAACATCCGCCTCGACCTCTCCACCACCGCCCGCCGCTCCTGTGGACCACCACCGCTACGGTGGGCGCTGAAGAGGATGGACGACGACGTGCTGATGGCTGCAGCGCTCGCTCTGGCCTGGCTGCCAACACCTGCCGGGCCGGTCGCGGACATTGGGGAGGAGGTAGAATGGTTCCGGGGAGCCATGAAGGCGGTGTGCGACGCTGCCATGCCCCGGGCCAAGAACCTCCCCAGGCGGGCCGCCTACTGGTGGACGGGCGAAATTGGTGTTCTGAGACGAGATTGTCTCGCAGCCCGTCGCCAGTGGCAAAGGGCCCGCAGAAGAAGGACGTTCCGCGACCCAGCGAGGGAGGAGGATCTGTATGGGCAGTACCGAGTTTTGGAAACTGCCCTGCAGATGCCCATCATGAAGTCTAAATCCGGGGCATGGCACCAGCTCCTAGGCTCTCTCCAGAATGACCCATGGGGTCGCCCATACAAAATGGTGATGGACAAGCTTAGGCCCTGGGCGCCCCCGATCACGGAGAGCCTCGACCCCCAGTTTTTGGGGCGGGTAGTCGACACTTTGTTCCCATGAGAGAGGGAACGCACACACCCCCCCCCCCCCCCCCCCCCCGGACCACGCGGAGGTGGTTTGGTCCGACGAACTGGGGGTCACGGAGGAGGAGCTGGCCGGGGCGATTAAACGGATGGGAGCTCGAAACACTGCTCCGGGCCCCGACGGCGTCCTTGGCCGTGCCTGGGTGAAGGCTCTCGCGTCCTCGGTCCGAGACTGAGACGCCTCTTCAGCGCCTGCATTAAAGAAGGAGTGTTTCCACAACAGTGGAAGACAGGGCGGCTAGTCCTCATCCGGAAGGATGGGCGACCCGCCGACAGTCCCTCGGCCTACCGGCCCATCGTGCTGTTGGACGAGGTGGGGAAGTTGTTCGAGCGGATCCTGGTATCCCGCCTCGTCCAGCACCTGTCCCAGGAGGGTCCCGACTTGGCCGAGTCGCAATATGGCTTTAGGCGGGGGCGCAGCACAATCGACGCAATCCAGTCGATGCGCTCCCGCTGCGACTCGGCCACGTCCCGGGACAGGGTGGCGTTGGGCGTTAGTTTATATATCGTCAACGCCTTCAACACCCTGCCTCACGGGACGATAAGGGGGGCGCTGATACGCCACAAGGCACCCCCCTACATGAGGAGGATCGTCGGCGACTACCTCCGGGACAGGAAGATAGTGTACAGGGGCCGGAACGGCCAGCTGCACGAGAGGGACGTGGACTGTGGCGTGCCCCAGGGTTCTGCGAAAGGTCCCACACTTTGGGACCTGGGGTACGACCCGGTCTTGCGGGTCGAGCTCCCGACCGGTGTGAGCCTCACGTGCTTCCCAGACGACACGCACGAGTTGGCCGTCGGTCGGAGGTGGAAGAGGACTCTAGCCGCCTCGCCGAGATTGGAGTGGCTGCCGTTGCCGCGGGGATCCGGCGGCTGGGGTTTCAGCTAGCTCCCCACAAAACCGAGGCGACGTGGTTTTACTCGCTTCGGCGTGGGGTTGCGCCACCGCCCCAGTCAGTGGTCCGTGTGAGTGGAGTCGACGTCCAGGTGGGGAAGGGCCACTGGTACTTGGGCCTCCACCTGAACAGCCACTGGCGCTTCGAGGAGCACTTCGGTCGTCTGCCCCCCCGACTAGACAGGGCAAGCAACGCTCTTGCCCGTCTGTTGCCCAATATCGGGGCGCCCAACGAGAAGGTTCGCCGTCTCTACGTGGGGATCGTGAGGAGCATCGCTCTTTATGGTGCACCCATATGGGCGAACGCCCTGATGGATTCCCGGCGCAGCCAACAACTGCTGCGCCGGGCTGAGAGGATAGCCATTAGGGTGATCAGAGGTTACCGCACGGTCCGCTATGAGGCGACGATGACCCTGGCGGGAGTTGTCCCCTTCAAGTTACAGGCGAATGGTGACGGCAAAGTCCTCTGGCGTCTGCGTGCTCTTCGTCTGGACGGTACCCAGAAGAGATGATCGAAGCTGTCGCTAGGATTAGGCGCCAGGCCCAGCGCATAACCGGGGCGGTCCTGCCAGTGCTCAAGAAATGGTGGGACCGCGGCCACGGGGGGCTCACATTTAGGACCACACAGGTGCTCACCGGACACGGCTGTTTCGGTGAGTTCCTGCACCGGATCCAGAAGGAGGAAATGGCAGCGTGCCATCACTGCGGGGCGGGGCGGGACACCGCGCAACATATCCTGGAGCACTATCCAGCGTTTGCGCGGGCCCGTCACGCCCTGCGGTGTGAAGTTGGGCGTGATCTCTCGCCGGCGGCACTTGTCAAAGAGATGCTAGTCGGCGAGAATCAGTGGAGGGCGGTGACCGATTACTGCGAAGGATGAGAGCCGACCCCGCCCGCAGAAGTAGGAGGGGACCCCCTGACGGCGTCACCTGAGGGAGGTGGAGTGGTGGGCCGTGAAGATATTACATGCCAGGCCCACCGCCCCCAACGGGGAGAAGAGGATGGGGGGAGCACGCGCTCCCCCTGAAGATGATTTTAGGGGGGACACCCGTCATCTCCCCGGAAGAGGAGAACCGGGGAGGGGCACCCGCCCCTCCCCCAACACCGATCGCGCGGCCCCGCGAGTCTTATGCGGGGCCGCAGTGCTGCAGGGCGGCAGGGGGCTGGGGCCACGGTCCTTATTGCACGCTGCCCGAGGAGTGCCGTCATTGGGTGTGGCCCCTGATGGCCAAAGCTAGACCCTTCCCCGAGCAAAGGGCGCCAACGCGCCATGGGTAGGAGGGTCCCGGTGTGTTCGCAAGAGATCCCGGAGCCCCCTCTAACGCCCAGTACAGGTCACCGTGGGGGTTTTAGCGGGTAAGGATCCGGCACTACCCTCGACACCTCCCCAGGGGGGCTGGGGGCGTCTTTCGAAGATTTCCTCCACGTAAAAAAAAAAAAAAAAAGGGTTTCGCAAAAGCGTAGAAATACCGAATAACTGGCGCAATACGCGGATGCGGACGCGAATGCGAACGCGAAGGTACGCGATCGAGAAAGGTGCCGTTATTGCCTTAAGATTTTACAGCATTACTGCGAAAAGGGCTTACCACACTGCAATGCTCTATTCGCCACTCACACGTTCCACACACTTCGCAGAATCGCGTTATGCAACGATCGCTCCACAAAATCGCTACTTCGGACGCTCCTTAAAACTCTACTCAAAACTCTACTCAAAAGTCGCTGTCGTATCTGTTGCCTAAGGTTCATTAACGGCTTGTTGCCGCGGCAGCGATGACGAGCCCGTCGCGGGAATTTTTTGGGGAGGAGATGGGGTAGAATGGGCGCCTCTTCCGGGCCTAGGATAGATCGATTATCGGTTTATCCATTGGCAGGTAACCGGGATCGATGGGGCTGACGGATCCTGGCTGATGACGGGTGTGGGCTGTGATCTTCGGGCTCGGCGACACATGGCTTCAGGCATTACTTTTGGCTGTTTTCTGTGCTGGTGGGCCTCGGTCTGTTTTCCGGGTTGCTCCTTTTCTGAGGAGGGGTGATGGTGCCGTCGCTGGCCTCGAAGCTCCTTTGGCTGCCTGCTGGGGTCTTTGCCGTCGCCTCCACCGGCCCGTTACCGGCGGGTGGGAAAAGAGGTTAGGTGAGGGAAGAGTTATCGTTGCGTTTTAAGATTAGAGTGGGTTACACGTGACACCACGTTACACATTATGACTATATTGACATTGGATATAATGTAATGCACTGATCCGTTCCCACAGATCAATGTGCATTTAATAACAACATCATTATTGCTATATCTACATTGGATATAATGTAACATAATGATCCATTCCCACAGATCAATATACATTTTGTTCGGACGCAGTTGAGAACCTTTGTCGATCGAGGGAGGTTTATGATCTCAAGAGGCCCAGCGCGTTCGTCGCCGGGAATAGCCCTTTGATTCGAAGGACGAGTCAAGGCAGGGCCTTTGTCTATCGGTTTTCGCTCGGTTCGGTCCCACGAAAACACGTGCAAGTAATAAACGACCTAACGGTTTCTCTGTCCCTCGTGCGTCATCGATAGAAGGAAGAAAGAAAGAAAGGACATTTTCAAATGCCACCCCTCTTATGCTAGAGTTTTCAGGCGATTTCCGGGTATTTTTTGCTTGCCTTTTTTAGTCGGCTTGAAGACTTCGTACAGTTCGGATCGCGGTCGTGACTTGGTTAGTTCGCGAGTGCAAGAGCCGAACCTCTTTCGAACAATCGGATGTCGTTCGGATGTGACTATTGCAGTCACACTGACGACCCGCAGGGTTGGTTACATCACATAACCACCCTGAATACACGGTACTCGGATGTCGTTCGGATGTCGACTATTGCAGTCACACCGACGACCCGTAGAGTTGGTTACATCACGTAACCACCCTGAATACACATATTACAATTACATACAAGACACCCGTGGTCGTGACGACGACCCGGTAGAGTGGTTACTTCATGTAATCACTCTGACTCGATATTATTGTTCAATACGGAACGACACGACAGGGTTGGTTACTCCACGTAACCACCCTAATTACACAGTACAAAATACACGCAATCGCACTTATGAGCCGGAGAGCAATGGCTTCATGTGTGATTATTCTGATTTAAATACGACATAAGATAATATGACACGCGATCGCTCGCACCTCGCTTCAATTCGCTTTTTTTCTTAAATATATTTTAAGAATCAGGGGTTTTTATGCCGTATGGCTTTTCCCCTTCGTTTTTTGAGAGCCAATAAAATCAAACGTTTTTGGCTCAATTATTATTAAATTTATTTATAAACCTACCTCATTCCTTGTCATAATCTGAAATACGGGACTTCTCCATGTTGGAGAGGTTTCGACGCTACACATTTGATAACGGTATTGTTGCGGCAGATCACGGCGCTTTTGAATTCTCGACAACAGCTAGTTTCCCCCTTCCTTGCCGGCGTACGGTGACGTCGGCGGATTCACGACACCTATATATAGAGGTGTGCGGGAGACAGCGGCATTCGTTAATTGCGACAAGGCGTAGATCATTAAAATAAAAAACTCGTAATAGTACATCGTTAATTGCGTTTAATCGTTGCGTTTATCTGTGATACAATCGTAGGCGTATTTGTACATTTATTCACTATAGTCGTGTGTTGATCGTCCAAGTTAATTGTTGTGTAATAAAGTCTATCGTGTGAACTTTGACGGTGTTAACACGTGGCTTTTCTATCGACCGTACTCTGCTATCCTTCCCGTACATAATCGCGTTGACAGTATCATTATTACTATATCTACATTAGATATAATGTAATATACTGATTCCTTCATACAGATCAATGTACAATTATTAACAATATTATTATTACCATATCTACATTAGATATAATGTAATATATATTGATTGCTTTCCACAGATCAATGTACATTTAAGAACAATACCATTATTACTATACCTGCATTTGATATAATGTAATATACTGATCCCTCCCCACAGATCAATGTACGGTGAATAACAATATCATTATTACTCTATCTACATTAAATATAATGCAATGTACTGGTTCCTTCCTAAGGAACGCCGAGCTAA